TAACTTTGGTCCAAGATGACAAACATTTCCATAAAGGCTTTTTTACCCAACATGCAGTTCAAGTTTTCAATTCCTATATTCAGTGCCACCTAGCCGCTCCAGATGGCACCAGGAATTTGGTAAGTTTTAAGTCAGATAGTAATTAAAAATCTATTTCATTATAGGCTCTATTTCATCACATTATATAACACTACAAACTTAGGATGGTTTCACTCAGAGGATTTGCTGATAACAAAAGTCATCCTCATTGTCTAAATGAGTTCTTGTTATGTGGTATGTTGCTTAAGTTACCTCCTTCTCAGTTTTCAGTTACCCACGTCTTGTCTTTCTAGTTAGCAAGAGAATATGAATGACTTGGACCATGGATCCTAAAGACGTCAGGTCTTTTCAGTGACAGGTTAAATTCTCCAGTGTGGGAGATGGGTTGTGGGTGTGCAGTTAGCTGTGTTTCCCCTGTGCACCATGGGGCAATACCTCTACTTCCTTCTCTTCTGTGTTTCCCCTTCTTGTGATAATCACTAGGGCTGCCATAGTTAGAGACGGGTTCCTAGATAGCTGCACTCGAAGCTTGGCTCTGGTTCTGCCCAGCTCTCTTTTTCATACGCAGTGCTGAAAGCTATTTCGTAGTGCCAGAGAAATTCATGTTTTATTGAACAGGTAATGCGGTTTCTCACTGTTTATTTCTTTCCTCTGTAATAGACTGCCAATGGTGTGGCCTCTCGGGAGGAAGAAGAAATAAGTGAACTTCAAGAGGATGATCGAGACCAGTTTTCTGATCAACTAGCCAGTGTAGGAATGCTAGGAAGAATTGCTGCAGAACACTGTATACCTCTTCTGACAAGGTACACACCGTCCAGAGAAACCCCATGGAGCAAATACTCTCTATTCACAATTCCCTGGAGAGCACTTAAAGTGTTTAAAGACTTTAAACACCCCTACCCCGTATCCCAGCACACTGGAACAAATGGACAGAAACATACTCATGATTGCATTCCTTGGCTTATACATTTGGAGCCCAGGCACTACAGCATAGATGGCAGAGAGATTGTGGAAAACATGGTATGAGAAATGATTTGACCCATATCAGTAAAAACTTGGAATAACCAGTTTTCAAGTGCCTGTTGTAAACCTTGATTGTGTGTAAAGCGATGTTTTAATTCTATGTCATATACAATAAATCATAATTTCTGTAGTGCTGTGAGAACAGTTGTGTACTATAATGTTTTTGTATATGTGTTTTTGTGCTAACATCTTTATGTTGTCTAATATATAGAAGTTTATGTT